TGCACAGTGGGTCCATGCCAGCTCTGCCCTTCCCTTGGGACACAACCAGCCAGTGGCGCTAGGAGATGAGGCAGCCGCAAGCACTCTCTACTGAACAAGCAGTCAAGCCCCAGCCAGCAGGGAAGGCCAAGGAAAATATAAGCAGGCACCTAAACTGCTCTGTCATGCCAGATGACGCCTGTCACAGGTATCTGCTCCAGCCATAGCTCACAAGGGCAGAGTGACCCAAGGCTCAGACACCTCAGGGATGAAGGGCTGGCTCACTCCATCAGGCAGACAAACAACACAGATCAGCCAAAATGCTGGCTAAAACTTAGGGAAACTGCTGATGAAGAAAGGAGATAATACATATCTGTACTGGTCTTGAGACCAGCTGTAGCAGCAGGCACCACAACTTATTTCAGTAACTCTCTTGCTTTGGGTATTTTAGGAGATTGCCCATGACCAGCAATTCAAAGGAGATTCTATGAATGACTGGTCTTGTACCTTCTCTCAGTGAAAACATGAACTAGCTCATGCCCCTACCCCCAATTCCAGCCTTACTTTATAATAATGGAACTAGATATGATGAAAGGACATGAGTGGATATGAGCAGTTCAAGAAGTAAATTGTACTGGACTCACCTTATTGAACCTCTTTAGATTTGTTTGGCCCCACCTGACCCATTGGGCACCTCAATCACTACCTACTCCTTCTAGGCCCAAATGGATCTACTGCCAGAGGTCAATCAGGCACCACTTGGAATCTTTGCCTGTTTATATACCATGAGGCATAGCGTTTTTCTTTCTTTCTTTCATTCTTTCTTTCTTTTTTTTGCAATCAGTTGCTGAAGGTTTGGGTGACACAAGAAAGTTCAGGAGAAGTGATCACATGTAGATGAGAAGGATCCAAACAGACACTTTCCCTTCCTCCAATTGCCCATTAGGAGACATCTCAGATGGCAGGGCAGCTGAATCTGCAGGGTAGCCTGCTGATCTCTATGACACCACAGTGGTGTAATAAGCACTTTTTATTACTTCCCAGGCTTCCTTGAATTATTTCCCCTTTCTCTCGCTCCCACTGTTCTGGAATTAGGTTTGCAAATCACTAGTACATAAGCTTGCCTAGGCTCTCTTTTCTAAGGAACCCAGGGGAGAGACATGTATAAGGGGGGCAGTGTCTGAAATATTTTAAAATGTAAAACTTTTAATGATGCATGCATATTAAATGCATACATTTAGTCGATAAGTACTGAATAAATTATTTTCATGTAAAAGCATACTGGACAACTACTTTATGACTGGGTACTTCCACTCTATTCCAATGCCTCACTTTTGATTAATTACAGATTATATACTTAAGCAATAAGTACTAATAATTGCGGCTTCTTTTGTGGCTCAGCTTATAAAGAATCTGACTGCAACACGAGAGATGTGGGTTCAAACCCTGCTTTGGGAAGATCCCCTGAAGAAGGAAAAGGCTACCCACTCTAGCGTTCTGGCCTGGAGAATTCCATGGACAGTCCATGGGGTCGCAAACTGTTGGACATGACTGAGCAACTTTCACACACTAAGTATTAGCAATAAGTACTAATTTAATTTTTATGAGTGAATGTCAAAGAAAAAGGCAAGATGAAACTGATGCTTACCACTATGCAAAGATCAAATGATATTATCAGTCAGTCAATTCAGTTGCTCAGTCATGTCCGACTCTTTGCAAGCCCAAGAATCGCAGCATGCCAGGCCTCCCTGTCCATCACCAACTCCCAGAGTGCCATCCAGCCATCTCATGCTCTGTCTTCCCCTTCACCTCCTGCCCCCAATCCCTCCCAGCATCAGGGTCTTTTCCAATCAATCAACTCTTCGCATGAGGTGGCCGAAGTATTGGAGTTTCAGTTTTAGCATCAGTCCTTTCAATGAACACCCAGGACTGATCTCCTTTAGGATAGACTGGTTGGATCTCCTTGCAGTCCAAGGGACTCTCAAGAGTCTTCTCCAACACCACAGTTCAAAAGCATCAATTCTTTGGTGCTCAGCTTTCTTCACAGTCCAACTCTCACATTCCATACATGACTACTGGAAAAACCATAGCCTGGATTAGACAGACATTTGTTGGCAAAGTAATGTCTCTGCTTTTTAATATGCTGTCTAGATTGGTCATAACTTTCCTTCCAAGGAGCAAGCGTCTTTTAATTTCATGGCTGCAATCACCATCTGCAGGGATTTTGGAGCCCCCCAAAATAAAGTCTGACACTGTTTCCATTGTTTCCCCATCTATTTCCCATGAAGTGGTGGGACCAGATGCCATGATCTTAGTTTTCTGAATATTGAGCTTTAAGCCAGCTTTTTCACTCTCCTCTTTCACTTTCATCAAGAGGCTTTTTAGTTCTTCTTCACTTTCTGCCATAAGGGTGGTGTCATCTGCATATCTGAGGTTATTGATATTTCTCCCGGCAATCTTGATTCCAGCTTGTGCTTCTTCCAGCCCAGCATTTCTCATGATGTACTCTGCATATAAGTTAAATAAGCAGAGTGACAATATACAACCTTGATGTACTCCTTTTCCTATTTGGAACCAGGCTGTTGTTCCATGTCCAATTCTAACTGTTGCTTCTTGACCTGCATACAGGTTTCTCAAGAGGCAGGTCAGGTGGTCTGGTATTCCCATCTCTTTCAGAATTTTCCACAGTTCATTGTGATCTACACAGTCAAAGGCTTTGGCATAGTCAATAAAACAGAAATAGATGTTTTTCTGGAACTCTCTTGCTTTTTCAGTGATCCAGTGGATGTTGGCAATTTGACCTCTGGTTCCTCTGCCTTTTCTAAAACCAGCTTGAACATCTGGAAGTTCACAGTTCACGCATTATTGATGCCTAGCTTGGAGAATTTTGAGCATTACTTTACTAGTGTGTGAGATGAGTGCAATTGTGCAGTATTTTGAGCATTCTTTGGGATTGCCTTTCTTAGGGACTGGAATGAAAACTGACCTTTTCCAATCCTGTGGCCACTGCTGAGTTTTCCAAATTTACTGGCATATTGAGTACAGCACTTTCACAGCATCATCTTTCAGGGTTTGAAATAGCTCAACTGGAATTCCATCACCTCCAATAGCTTTGTTCATAGTGATGCTTCCTAAGGCCCACTTGACTTCACATTCCAGGATGTCTGGCTCTAGGTGAGTGATCACAACATCATGATTATCTGGGTCATGAAGATCTTTTTTGTACAGTTCTTCTGTGTATTTTTGCCACCTCTTCTTAATATCTTCTGCTTCTGTTAGTTCCATACCATTTCTGTCCTTTATTGAGCCCATCTTTGGATGAATGTTCCCTTAGTATCTCTAATTTTCTTTAAGAGATCTCTAGTCTTTTCCATTCTGTTTTTTTCCTCTATTTCTTTGCATTGATCACTGAGGAAGGCTTTCTTATCTCTCCTTGCTATTCTTTGGAACTCTGCATTCAAATGGGAATATCTTTCCTTTTCTCCTTTGCTTATCGCTTCTCTTCTTTTCACAGCCATTTGTAAGGCCTCCTCAGACAACCATTTTGCCTTTTTGCATTTCTTTTCCATGGAGATGATCTTGATCCCTGTCTCCTGTACAATGTCATGAACCTTCATCCATAGTTCATCAGGCACTCTGTCTATCAGATCTAGTCCCTTAAATCTATTTCTCACTTCCACTGCATAGTCATAAGGGATTTGATTTAGGTCAAATTTACCATTCATTTACCTGAATGATCTAGTGGCTTTCCCTATTTCTTCAATTTAATTCTGAATTTGTCAATAAGGAGTTCATGATCTGAGCCACAGTCAGCTCCCAGTCTTGTTTTTGCTGACTGTATAGAGCTTCTCCATCTTTGGCTGCAAAGAATATAATCAATCTGATTTCAGTGTTGACCATCTGGTGATGTCCATGTGTAGAGTCTTCTCTTGTGTTGTTGGAAGAGGGTGTTTGCTATGACAAGTGCGTTCTCTTGGCAAAACTCTATTAGCCTTTGCCCTGCTTCATTCTGTACTCCAAGGTCAAATTTGCCTGTTACTCCAGGTGTTTCTTGAGTTCCTACTTTTGCATTCCAGTCCCCTATAATGAAAAGGACATCTTTTTTGGGTGTTAGTTCTAAAAGGTCTTGTAGTGATACTACAAATGATATTATAGGAAGGGATATTTCAAGTAATTTGAATACAGGAAAGTGGTGGACCAATATGAGTTTTCATCTGAGACTTGGCAAACTTAAAAGAATCTATACAGTGGCTGACAATCTAAATGCATCTCACCTAACAGACATTTAATTTCAGTAAAATAATTTAACACTAATTTGAATTTTATTGGGCAGTAGAAGCTATGGAATAATGAAATAGATGTCTGATCAGGAAACTTGAGGGAGTTTGCCTTGCACAGTCAGATATAAATTTCATCTTTTCTAATGTTGCTTGCTAATGCTTTCGGTACAAGTAGATTGTTTAAGAGAGTAATAAGGGGTGCTGAGGTTATGTAAATATCAAAGAGGATAAAAATAAAGACCATTTTGAGGGATAATTGGAAATATGGTTTACACTTAATGAATACGTATCAAATACGCAGAACAGTCAGGGTTCCACTGGGCAGGCAGGGGTTAGAGGGTGGTGTTGGGTGGGTCAGTGTCCCTGACTGGGCAAACATTTGTAAGAAGTAAACATCTTTCAATGGTAAAGCTGCTTGTCAGCTGTGAGTCCTTTCAGGGAACCGGATGTGGCTCCCCACCCTCAGTCCCAGCAACTGGCAAAGGTGAAGGCAAGGCTAACACTCCTCTCAAAATAAAATATTTAAAAGTAAACAGAATTTGAGACCAAGATATAGTTATCATTCATCATAGTGAAGACAAATGCAAATAGTGAAACAATTTGGGGTCAAGAGGTTAAAGTCCTGCAATAAACCACTGTTGATAAATTGGAAAAATGTGTATATATATATATAGGGGTAAGGAAAGATGCCTCCATAACCAACGTTTTCCAAAGAGAGACCTCAAAGGGAGATGTAGAGCGATGGGGTCGTTTAAGAATTCTGTCTTCGTCCTGGTCCTTCACCTTCTGGAAGGGGCCCTGAGTGAGTCTCTCATCCAGCTGAGTAATAACGGCTATGAAGGCATCGTCATTGCAATCGACCCTAATGTGCCAGAAGACGAAACACTCATCCAACACATACAGGTAAGTCTGAAATGCTAACTATTCATGCTGTTTTGAAAAATTAAGCATAATATATTGGTAGAGTTAACATGAGTTCTCTAATTCCAACTGTGTGACACTGGAAAGTTTTTTTTTAATATCTGTGGTTGCATTTCTTCAGCTATAAAATGGAAATAATAACACAACCATTATGATTCTTCTGAGAGAAGAGATAATATGTGCAATACATATAATTCAGAGCTTGATATACTGTTGGTACTTACTAAATGATATCTCTACTTCTTGGCTGTAGATGACTTCATTGAAGATTATTTAGTTCTACACCAAGGCAGAGCCAACTATATTTGGCAGATATTATGAAATGTGCAGAGGGTAATTCCTTTGTCTGATTTTACCATTGGCTCCTATCAGAGTCTCCTTTTATTCTCCTGATTAAACCCTCCCTTCCCTGTGGTTCTAATATAGGAGTCCAAGATGCAAATCTTAATCTCTGAGTTAAGAATAAACCTGACCCTTCCAATGGGAGGAAATCCTACATTTTGCCAGGCCCAACACAAGGCATCTTCTCAGGGCTGCTGAGCAGCCTCATTTCACTTGTTGCTTCTTCTGTAGGGGAAGGAAAAATTAGGGAAGAGGACTCTTCCTGTCCACATAGAGGCATCTAACTGCTGTAAAATGGAGGGATTAGAGAGGTCTTGTACAACAGCAAACAGCAAAGAATAAGAAGGAAATGTCTTATAAAAGCCAGCCCTGAAAAGTGACTGTAGCTCACCCAGAGGTAGTACTGTATAATGGGCAAAAGTACTGGTCTACAAAATGGGGAAAATAATAAATATCTTCCTCACAGGACTTTATAAGGATTATCAATGCACACATATAAGGGAAGTTGGATGAAGGGTATATGGGAACTCTATACATTTTTTGCATGTCTCATCTGTAAGTCTAAAATTTTCTCAAAAACTTAGAAGACCTTTAAAAATGTGTACAGAATGCCTGGTACATATTAAGAGCTCAACAAATGGTAGGCAATTCATCAGTCCCCAGGCCTCCTTTTAATCTTAGATGGAAAGGGCTCATCATTTCTTACCAAGCCAAAAGGACTGAGACTTGTTTCTGGGAAAAGTTCCTCTGTGTAAACTCAGAAGCTAATAGTACAAGGGCCCCAAGCATTGCCTCAAAAGGTTTCTTGCCCTGAACAAGTGAAAACCCAGAAAGAGGAGTTAGGGGAGAGAATTATCTCAACCACCAGAGGAGTTTGGGGCTAGCGAAGTGCAGTGATTGAAGAGGAGGGGAAGTTCACCTGTTCAAACCAGAAGACCATCAGATGTTATTGCTATCAGTGAAGGGGAAATTCATGCCTTTTGAAATCTCTAATAAACAATCAGAAACATTAGGTGAGTCTTTGGTTATCTCTAGTAAGAGAATCAAACCAGTCAATCTTAGGGAAATCAACCCTGAATACTCACTGGAAGGACTGATGTAAAGCTGAAGCTCCAGTGTTTTGTTCATCTGATGGGAACTGACGACTCATTGGAAAAGTCCTTGATGGTGGGAAAGATTGAGGGCAGAAGGAGAAAAAGGCATCAGAGGAGGAGATGACTGGATGCTATCATGTCCGATGCAATGGACATGAACTTGGGCAAACTTTGGGAGATGGTAAGGAACAGGGAGGCCTGGCATGCTGCAGTCCATGGGGTTGCAAAGAGTCAGATATGACTGGTCAACTGAACAACAAACTTAGAAATAGCATTAGCAAAAATGAAGCAGCCACTGGAGCAACAGACAAGGAAAGCTGGGAGAAAAATGTGACCAGCATGTTTCTGTCTCTGGCTGGACAGTGAGCAGTCCTCAGGAACGTATGGAAAGGGGCCACAAATGCCTTATCTCTGATGACAATGGTAATTTGTATTTATTCGGTGCTTTGGCCACCTGAGGAGAAGAACTGACTCATGTGAAAAGACCCTGATGCTGGGAAAGATTGAAGGTGAGAGGAGAAGGGGACGACAGAGGATGAGATGGCTGGATGGCATCACTGACTCAATGGACGTGAGTTTGATTAAACTCTAGGAGTTGGTGATGGACAGGGAAGCCTGGCGTGCTGCAGTCCGTGGGGTCGCAAAGAGTCGGACATGGCTGAGCAACTGAACTGAACTGAGAGAAAAAGCAAAAGGACATTCACTTCACTCTCTTTGAGGGTTCCTCCTGAGAAATACACTTGTCACTACTATTATTCAGTTGGTTTTCTGGTATGGTCCTAAACGAGTTGGGTATGAGAGAAGTTGGTTTCCGCAGTTACCACACTTTTTAAGGACAACAGTGTGCTCGAGAGTCGCTGGGTAGTTAATAAAAGCGAGTCCCTGTTTGATGTTTCAGATCTGCGGTCAAGGGACCTCATTGTGGGCTTTGCCACCTTGCTGATCATCCCTCAGTTCTCTGCATTTTGAGGAGACTCTCCCCTTGGTGTCCTTGTGTGAGCAGAACCCTCTAAGTCAGTTCTTAAATACCTGCTTCAGCAGGGCCGTCCGAAAGGTACTCCACTCACAGTACCAGCAGGTGGCGCTGCAGCAGATCCCCGACTTCGGCCTGCACTGCGGGAGCGGCGCGAGCACGCTTCATAAAATGAAGTGAGGGTCAGGAAGCTCTCTCCCCCTCGCGCCCCCTTAACACACGCACAGTGGGAGTAGCTGGGGTCTCCTCAATGCATGGGAGCCCAAGCACCTCCTGTCTTGGCACTCCTGGGCAGTTTGCCCCTCATCGTAACCTCTTCATTCACTCATTTGTTCTTTAATCCAACAAACATTTATTTACAGAGCATTCACATTATGTCAGGTACCAGGAATTCGGTGGTCAACAGTATATTATCCCTGTTTTTAAGGAATTACCAGTGCTTCATGTAAATTTCACCCTTAATGTTCTTCAAACCTCAAAAACTCAACTATTTGGATATGAGGTCACTTTCTCAAAATATGAAACAGATGTCAAAGATTCCTTATTAATGTTTCTAATAAAACGTAGCTGCTGCTGCTGCTGCTGCTAAGCCGCTTCAGTCGTGTCCGACTCTGTGCGACCCCATAGACGGCAGCCCACCAGGCTCCCCCGTCCCTGGGATTCTCTAGGCAAGAACACTGGAGTGGGTTGCCATTTCCTTCTCCAATGTGTGGAAGTGAAAAGTGAAAGTGAAGTCGCTCAGTCGTGTCCGACTCTTCTCGACCCCATGGACTGCAGCCTACCAGGCTCCTCCATCCATGGGATTTTCCAGGCAAGAGTACTGGAGTGGGGTGCCATTGCCTTCTCCAAATAAAACATAGAAGACAAGACATTTCATGCTGCTTAGTTATCTTCCTAGGAGACACTGAACATTTACATTTCACAAGTTAAATTGTAATATGATATTAGAATGTAGGAAGTTTTATACTTATTTTTCAACTTTTTGGTGATATTGATTCAATATTTTTATTTAAAAAGTGATACAATATTAAATTTTCCTAGCAGTTGTTCAAAATCTGGCTTTTTTGGTAAAAGGAGAAGCAAATCGTTTTGAGAGCTTTTTTTAAACTAGCAAGGCAACTATTATCATTACCATTTGAAAAGACAGAAACTGAGGCTCAGAGAGATAAATTCCCCAAGTTTATCCCCAAGAAGTAGCAGAACAGGATTTGCTCCTGCATCAGTACACAAGTACTATTTTCCCAAATAGTGATGTACTGTCTCTGCTTCTAAGGCCACCCCTAGAATTAGATGTGTAGGCATCCATGTCTCACCTCTCTGGTCTGTTCCAGTAAGGACTCTCCTCCAGCAATGATCCCTTTTTCCCCCTCTTGAATTATATGCTTTGTTTTTTTTCCCCACCAGCACATACATATGTTATAATAGTTCCCATTCAAAACAAAACAAACCTCCCTTGCCCAAAATCTTCCTTCAACTACTGCTTCATTTCTTGATTTCCTTTTAATTTGTAGAAACATTTCTTGACCTGCTGTTTTCACTGCCTCTGCTTCATCACCTCCCACCCTATTGAATTCACTCATATAGACCTGTCATCTCCATTCCACAAAATGGCTCACTCAGGTTGCCAAATTCATTGCTCAGTTTTTAGTCCTCATCTTCCTTGATTGCTCAGCAGTGTTTAAATCTGATGGCCACTCTCTCCTTCTTGAAATGCTCTCCCATGCCTTCCGATCTCCTTCCCCTGCACCGGCTGCTCCTTCTGAGTTTCCTCTGCTGGCTCTTCCTCTTCCCACTTCTGAATGCTCAGTCTTCAATCTTCTTCCCTCTGTCTACACCCATTTTTGCATTTTTCAGTGATTTGCAGCCCTAATAGTACCAATTTCCCTTTCTATAATAAATATCTTGCAATATCCCTTCTACTATCTTGTCATGATGCATTTCAGGGAAACAGGCATTTATAATTTAACACTACAGCTCTTTTTCTTTAGAGAAATAAAGTTAGGCATAATTTGAAAAGAGATTATATACTATGCCACTTTGTTGTATCTAATACTTAGTATTATACTAAAAACAAACACTATCATAACATTTGGGCTTCCCTGGTAGCTCCATGGTTAAGAATCCGCCCATCAATGTAGGAGACTAGGGTTCAATCCCTGGGTCAGGAAGATCCCCTGGAGAAGGAAATAGCAACCCACTCCAGTGTTCTCACCTGGAGAATACCATGGACAGGAGCCTGACCTTGTCAGTCCATAGGGTCACAAAGAGTCAGATACGACTTAGCAACTAAACAACAACAATACAATTATTACAGGAGGTGTTGAGGTTGTATTTATTTTAATTTGAGTTTCTTTTCACTACTACTTGGTGTGAGATGTTGAGACTAATACTCTCTAATTCTCAGTTTCTCCTTTAAAGGTTCATTGATCTTTAAAGGATCGTATGAAATGAAACTAAGAGCTAATATTTGATAAGCATTTGTGCTAAGTAAACATGGTTCCAAATGCTTTCTTGACTTCATTTCATCCTCACAACAACCTTATGGGCTGCTCTCTGTAATATTTTCCATCTTATAAATGGGGAAACTGAGGCTCAAGAGCAGTTTAAGACATTTCTTTTTTCTTTTTGGCCACACCAGGTGGCTTGTGGGATCCTAGTCCCCCAGCCAGGGATGGAACCCAGTCCCCAGCAGTGAAAGTGCTGACTCCTAACCTTTGGATCACCAGGGAATTCTCTCAGGGAAATTCCTGATGTCCCACCATAAGTGGTGAGCCAGGATTAGTGCCTGCTTCTGAAGTCTTCATTGTCAACTATTATACTGTGACACAGAGCATGCAGTAAAAATATCAAAAAAGGCTAGCTACTATTATTAACGAAATAATCTTCTTAGCTTGATAAATAGCCAGTTTCTGGAAATGTGAAATACAAATATAAATTGGAATAATTGGTGATTTCATCTTTTTTTCTGTCATTAAGCATGCTTCTTTATATTTTATTTCCCACCCCCACCCCCAGGATATGGTGACCGATGCATCTCCATATCTGTTTGAGGCTACAGAAAAAAGATTCTACTTCAAAAATGTTGCCATTTTGATTCCTGAAAATTGGAAAACAAAACCTGAATATGTGAAACCCAAACTTGAGACCTACAAAAATGTAAGAATATTAACTTCTTTTTTCAAATTTAGTTTTATTTTGTGACTTAGATTCTTCTATCAAAATATTCTAGAATCAAATAAAATTGTTTCAATATAGTCTGCTGTGAATAAGGTCAGTTCATTTGCTGAAATTTTGTAATGATAAAAAATTTTTCTTAAATTTCAGGCTGATGTTCTGGTTGCTGAACCTAATCCAACAGGTAACGATGGACCTTATACTGAGCAGATGGGAGGTTGTGGAGAAAAGGGTGATAGAATTTATCTCACTCCTGACTTCCTAGCTGGAAAAAAGTTGCCTCAGTATGGACCACAAGGTATGGGTAGAGATGAAATATTCTGTTATGCAATAATTTAATAATTTTATGTTGCAAATAGATCAACAATAGCATTATCTTTCTGAGTAAGAACATAAAAGTCAAATAGACTATTATAGCCTGCTTTTTTCACATAAAACAGAATAGTGCATTTTTCAGTTAGAAATTTATTTTATTCATATCCTGCAAATATATGTGTATAAATGTAATATTTTTAATTTTCAGATAGTTATCAGATAATAACTCTGATTAAATAGTTTAATTAATGTGACGCTAGGTTCCTTCTGTGGGAAGACACCTGAACAAATTAAATCTCCTGTCTGTAATTTAGGTATGGCCAAAACATATGGCAGACACATAATGTTTTCAGACTTTAATGTGCATTCAGATTATAAATGGATTTTTAAAATGACTTTGATTCAGTAGGTGTGGAGTAGGACTCAGGGATCTGCATTTTAACAGGTGATGCTGATACTGCCTGACCTTGGACCAGACTTTGAGTACCAGACAGAATAGCCTTGATGTTCAGCTCTGACAAATATCTGACTAAAGAAAAAGTCAACATTTCCTTCACAAAATATCATTTATCATTTTCATATGAACCAAACAGAGCAATCTTGGGGTAAAATATTAAAAGAAATCAGCAGTGGCATATATACAGTATGTACTTTTCAAGGATAATCAAGTGTGATTAATATTAACTAATTAGGTTAACTAACAACTAGGTTTCTTTATTACCTTAAAAATATTAGAACCACTACAATATTGTAAACTAATTAGCCTCCAACTAATAAAAACAAATGAAAAAAAAATTAGAACCATTTTAATTTTTTTCCTTTAAATAGGCAAGGCAGAGAAACAAGCAAACAAAAGAGCATTGATGCCTGCATGGCCCACTCCAAATACACTGGAGCACTTTTACAGACCTTAACAGAGAGGATTGTCTAACCAACACACCTCTTCTACAACATCTCTATAACGGAAACAGAAAATTCCCAACGTATGGCTCAATAAATATGTGTTGAATTGATTTACTTACCAATTGATTGATTTACTTATCAGCTTAAGCTGTTCCTTCCCACTCCTGAGCCCACTCCAGTCATCAAGATCACCTTATACAATGCCATTCCTTTATACTTTCTCCTTTTTGTACCCTGACTCCGTGACTACTCCTTCACAATCTCCCCTATTATTAAGAGGCCATCAGTTATTCCTCAGCACGTAGAGCAATCTAAAATCCTTAATGTGAGATACTAGGGCTTACTAAACATGCACCTCCTCACTTAATCCTCCAAATTCAGCCTACCTTGGAATTTATATTTCAGAAAAACTAACTGGTACATAGGTCACTAATATTCATCCGAATATAACAAATTTACTAAGTACCTATTAAGTTCTAGACAATATGGGCCAAGACATGACAATGAAGTCATGGTGCCTGTTTTCATGGAGACAAGAGTCTATAGTGAGAGACTGGCAAATAAACAATGACAATATAACATGACAAATGCCATAATGGAATATAATGAAAGTGAAAAAGGAGGGGTACCTGAACTAGTTTGAGGATGTCAGAGAAGGCTTCTATCTGGATATAAGCTTAATTTTGAAAGAAGAGTAGGAGTTATCTCCCAGTCAGAGATAGGGAGGTGGTATTCCAAGCAGAGGAAAAATATGTAAAAATGATCAGAGATGAGCAAGAATATGGTGTGACTCTAGAAACTAAAAGGGGTTCAGGAATCCATTGTCATTATGGAGTTTTTTAATTGGGTGGAGAACAGCAAGAAATATGGCTGCGTAGAGGAACAAGGCCTGAATCATCAGGGACCTTGTATGTATGTTGAGAAGTTGGACTTAATCCCGAGCACCAAGGGTAAGTCATTGAAGACTGGAGACATGGAGCCAGCCGGGTGAGTGTCATAGTAGTTCAGGAGTAAGTGGTGATGAGACTGGAAGGGTGAGAATAGGTCAAGGCAAAAAGGCAGATGTGGAGTAGGCAGACCTTGAGATCTGTCCACATTTGGGTCATTAGGAAGAAGGACCTTCTTGGCTGCCCTATAGGTCAGCCTGTGCTGACCTCCATCATTACACTTGCACCCCTAAAGATTTTAGTTATCTAAAATGATGTGTGTCATCTGCTAGAACATGAGATATGTGAGCACAGGGCACTTGTTTTACCTTTGAATGAATAGCTTCCTGGTACTTACTATAATTAGCACTTGACAATCCAAAATAAGTAGTCATATTTATAGAAATGTACAATTGTCATATCAAATTAAACCTTTAACTTAAAAAAGCAAAACATAATAATTTTCAGAAGAATTACTTTCTCTGAATTTAAGAGGGTAATTTTGCCATTCTTATTGTAATTAGGTGCTTAAAACATTTTTTCACAGGAAGGGCATTTGTCCATGAATGGGCTCATCTACGATGGGGAGTATTTAATGAGTATAATAATGACCAGAAATTCTACCTATCCAAAAAAAGGATCAAACCAGTAATGTATGTATATTTTGATTACTTTTCCCAAACTGTTTTAAATTGCAACCAACTTTGTCTTGAATTGAATATTTTTAAAATGTCAGTCTTTTATCATATTTTCCTCTTTCATTCTTAGTGTCTTCTCTTTCAGCTTCCCATAAAACTACTACTTTTGTTCACTTTACAAGTGCCTTAGATGAATTCTCTACTATATATCATTTGCCTCTTTGTGTGTGTGTGTATAACTAGAAGAAATTCACAGGTTCTACATTCAGGATCTCCATCTTCCTGTCTCATAATCAGAGACATAAAGCTTCAGTGCCTTGCAGGTAGAATAGTATCTGTGTGAACTATATCAGAATTGAATGGGCCTGAGAGACACTGGTGAATTTAGGTGAAAGACAGTCCAAACATTAAAACAAAATAAAATCTCTCCCAATTTGAATAAAACCCTGTATGGTGTCAGTAGAAAGCAAACTGAATACTTAGAAAGTACCCTGGCAAAAAAAAAAAAGTACCCTGGCTCCCATAATTTTACAGGTAAGTTCTTGGAATCAAAAGTTTCAGGGAATAAACTGCTTTTGTACAAATATAAAGGATAGGGAGCTTCCCAATTCATTTTAGACAATTGGCATAATTCAGATACTAAAACTCGACATATGGGATGCATAAGAATTGTGTAGATACAGCTTTCCAAAAAGATTACAAATAAAAGCATAGTAAGTTACTCCTGGACTAATATTATACAGGAATAACAAACACACCAAGGCCAAGAAGGATATCTTCCAGATATCAGAAAATGCTATGATAATAGGTAAGTAATTAGTATAGTATATCAAGGAAAAAAGAAAATTATTCCAACAGATTCTGAAAAGGAATTCGATAAGCTTGCACATTTGCACCTCAGTTGAAAACAACAGCCTCTTTTAAAAGACTAGAGCTGGGGCAACACCGCTCTTCACTTCTGCTTCTGGCTCTACTCCCATGATGGCTCTTTAAGGAGATGCACTCAGCTTTGGTTTGGTTACTGTCTACCCCGCACAGTTTCCAAAGGAAGCTGCGTGGAATTCAGAACTCTGCCTTGGCTTCCCCTTTCTCCCATAGGAGCATCACTGCTTTCTGCTTTCCCTTTTCTTTATTATACTCAAATTCTGTCATTTGACATTTTTTCTCCTCTTATGTCACTTTAGGTATAAAAAGACACTAAGTACCTCCCAGAGCCGTACACAGTCAACCCGATTCCTTTGGCTTGTTCCCTCCACACACTGTAGAATCCATTCCCCAGTGTCACTCTGTCCATGAGATCATGTTAGGTGAACCTCTCAAATCTCAGCCCACAGATGACATTTAGCCCTGACATCTGCCTTTCCCACTTCTTGCTATGCTTCCAGATAGAAACTGTATTCCCCTTGAGAGAAAAGCTGATTAGTATATATTCTTTCTAAGGGATATTCTAGAAATATCTATACATCATTTTCACCCTTCCACAGATAACATTTTGCAAAACTGACATAATTACCATGTCCTCTTAACAATAAATTTTGTTATAACATACAAATAGTATTTATTGCTTATCTACCAATTCTTTATTACCTCTAAGACTTAGAAACAACTACAAAAATGACAGTACTACCCATAATAGAAGGCTTCCTTAATATGAAGCAGAACATCAATTGAAAGCCAACTGCCTACATAATATTTAACAGGGAATCACTGAACATTCCCAGGAATATGATAAGAATGGGAACTACTAGAAATTATCATTTTTAGAAAGTTGTAGCCAATGCAATAATGTGTTGGGAAGGTTAAAAAAACAGGGGCTACTAGAAAGAGAGAGAAAAAATTGCTTCGAGGCAGATGATAATGTGATCCACTTTGAAAGCCTGAAGGGAAAAAGAGAAATTAAAATTGACAAGAGAAGTCAATAAGGCAACCAGATATATTTGAAGAAAACTCTAAGAAATGTGAAAGTTACATCTGAAGAAAACCATAACACAAAATCCTTCTAAAGAATTTAAAAGAAAATTAAGATTAACTGAGATATTTTTAATTCATAGAATATTTAAATTCAACCCAAATTAATATATAGGTCTTATGAAACTCTAGTCAAAACATTTCTATTTTTACCTCATTTTAAAGACCCTGAGCTTATCCAGTAGATAGGAGCTGCAAACATTTTTGAAAAAAGATAGTAATAAAGGAAAATTTTCTTGTTGAATTTTAAATATACAATAAAGCTACATTAATTAAAACAATGCAAACTAGTAGACTTACAATAATTTACTATTTGATATAGCTAGAATTGTAAATCCACAAGGAAAGACAAGATTTCTTTAGATGTCAGGACAATTTTTAACTATGTGGAGAAAAAAATTAATAGACTGTCTTTCAACTGGATAGACTTATTCAATATAAAAAAATAAAACCATGATGAAAACTAGAAGTATATTAATAAATATCAAATTCCTAAATGGTGAATGTCTTTCTATGCATTCGAGTTGGAAAAAGACATAACTAAAAGAATGATAAATTTGACTACATATAAATTAAAAACTTTATTGCATATAAATCAAACATTAACTAAATTAAAAATAAAAAACAGAAAAATATGTTTGCAAATCCTTAAAAAACAGCCTTTTAAAAGCTTAGCATTATAACAGATAAAAGAAAACAATAACACCCTAATAGAAAAATAGACACGAGAAAATAATCTATATAAAAGAAGAAATAAAAATGGCCAGTAAAAATGTAAAAACGTTAAGACATTAGTAGTCAAAGAGGTGCAGATTTGACAAAAATGATTATCATTTATTACCTAGTACTAGTGCCTGTCAGTGGGATTGTTGCAGGAAGGGGGACCCCTTCCAGGGTCCGAAACTGGGCTCTTGTCTAACACTTGGAAATAAATTGTCTGAGGAGACACATGTGCTGACAAAGCAAGAGATTTTACTGGGGAAGGTCACCCGGCTGGAGAGCAGTAGGATAAGGGAACCCAGGAGAACCGCTCTGTCACATGGCTTGCAGTCGTGGGTTTTATGGTGATGGGATTAGTTTCTAGGTTGTCTTTAGCCAATCATTCTGACTCAGAGTCCTTCCTGGTGGTGCACACCTTGTTCAGCCAAGATGGATGCCAGAGAGAAGGATTCTGGGAGGTGGTCGGACACGTGGGTCTCCTTTTGACCTTTCCTGAACTCTTCTGGTTGGTGGTGGCATATTAGTTTCGTGTTCCTTACCAGGACCCCCTGTCATAAAACAACTCATGCAAATGGTTACTATGGTGCCTGGCCAGGGTGGATGGTTTCAGTTAGTGTGATTCTCCTAACAGGATGAGTGCTGTCATAGATGGTTATCAGAGAAATGAACTAGAATAACCTCCCTGGAAAGCAATTTGATGACACATATCAAATCTCTAAAATTCTTTCCTATTTCTTGATCTACTAATCTTATGTTTAGCAATCCATTTTAAAGGAAATATAGAATGAGCTCTAGCAACAGGCTTTAAAATGTTCAAATTTCTGAATCTGACCATTTATTCTGGGTGTCAGTCATAGCAAGCTTGGAAATAGAGTCAAAATGTTATGCACCAATTTCATTTATTCACAGAAGTTTTATTTTTAGCACTGAAAAATTCATGGAGGAAAAAAAATTAAGTAAATTAGGCTAAATTCGCATTGTAATTTCAAAATGTGAAGTTATTAAAATCACATTTTGAAAGAATATTATGAATTATAATAATACATTACAATTTAAATGTACTAAAATACTAAGTTTTATAAGATCAGGCAGTAGAGCTATACATAGAATGTTATGCTGATACATAGAGAAGGAAATGCTTTAGTACATTAACAATAGTTCATCTCTGACAGTGACATATGATTTTTTCTTTTCTTCTTTATACTCTTCCTAGTTTCCAAATTTCCCATGTTCATATGTTTTTTATATACTCAAAAATAAGATGTGGGGGAAAAGTACTCCATTCACAATAGTGACAAACTCATAAGCATATAAATAAAAATCTAAAATACCTATATAAACACACAAGAACTATGCAAAGTATGACATAAACTAGCTGGATCAAAACAAACAAACAAATAAACAAATGTCAGCAAAACTTTCTAGAGAAATGAAATATGCTCTTGATTTTCCAGGAATGAGAGGACCAGATTAGGAAGTGCCTTAGGATTTTAATCCTTATTAATTCTTAACAGTGGCTGTAAGACAGCCTTAGCTTTTCTGCTGCATAGAAACACATTCTGATATCATTTTGGGGACCCCTCAGATACTTTCTGGTAAACAAAATTACTCTGATGAGAATTTGATAATTTTAATATTTAAGGTGATACGTTTATTTCTTAAATTATAAAGTGAAATTGTAAACAATGCTGTCTGTAGTAACTGACCAGAGTCCAACACTTTGAAATTATCATTTCACTTAAATATCTAACCTGCAGATGTTCAGCAGATATTACTGGTGAAAATGTAATACAGAAGTGTCAAGGAGGAAGCTGTGTCACTAAACAATGCAAAACTGACATAAAAACAGGACTGTATGAAGAAGGATGTGAATTCATACCTCATCAGAGTAACAATGAGGAGGCTTCCATAATGTACTCACAAAGTATTGATACTGTAAGTGCCATATCCTTTTTCTTCTTTTTTTCTTGACATGAATTTAGTGAGGTTTTTATCCCAGATGATGCAAAAGAGGGTGAAATGTTAGGAAGTCAAGTATCAGTATCGGTATCAGTTCAGTCGCTCAGTCATGTCCGACTCTTTGTGACCCCATGAACCATAAGCACGCCAAGCCTCCCTGTCCATCACCAACTCCCGAAGTTTACCCAAACTCATGTCTATTGAGTCGGTGATGCCATCCAACCATCTCATCCTCTGTCGTCCCCTTCTCCTCCTGCCTTCAATCTTTCCCAGCATCAGAGTCTTGTTAAAGACTCAGCTCTTCACATGAGGTGGCCAAAATATTGGAGTTTCAGCTTCAATATCTGTCCTTCCAATGAACACGCAGGACTGATTTCCTTTAGAATGGACTGGTTGGATCTCCTTGAAGTCCAAAGGACTCTCAAGAGTCTTTCCAACACCACAGTTCAAAAGCATTAATTCTTCTGGGCAAAGCTTTCTTTGGAGTCCAACTCTCACATCCATACATGACTACTGGATAAACCATAGCCTTGACTAGATAGACTTTTGTTGACAAAGTAATGTCTCTGCTTTTTAATATGCTGTCTAGGTTGGTCATAACTATCCTTCCAAGGAGTATGCATCTTTTAATTTCATGGCTGAAATCACCATCTGCAGGGATTTTGGAGGCCAAAAAATAAAGTCAGCCACTGTTTCCCATCTATTTGCCATGAAGTGATGGGACTGGATGCCATGATCTTAGTTTTCTGAATGTTGAGCTTTAAGCCAACTTTCTCACTCTTTTTTTTCACTTTCATCAAGAGGCTCTTTAGTTCTTCTTCACTTTCTGCCATAAGTGTGGTGTCATCTGCATATCTGAGATTATTGATATTTCTCCCAGCAATCTTGATTCCAGCTTGTACTTCATCCAGCCAAGCATTTCTCATGATGTACTCTGCATATAGGTTAGATAAGCAGGGTGACAATATTCAGCTTTGATGTAGTGTTTTCCTATTTGGAACCAGTCTGTTGTTCCATGTCCAGTTCTAACTGTTCTTTCCTGACCTGCATACAGGTTTCTCAAGAGGCAGGTCAGGTGGTCTCGTATTCCTATCTCTTTCAAAATTTTCCACCGTTTATTGTGATCTACACAGTCAAAGGCTTTGGCATAGTCAGTAAAGCAGAAATAGATATTTTTCTGGAACTCTCTTGCTTTTTTGATGATCCAGTGAATGTTGGCAATTTGATCTCTGGTTCCTCTGCCTTTTCTAAAACCAGCTTGAACATCTGGAAGTTCACAGTTCACGTATTGCTGACGCCTGGCTTGGAGAATTTTGAGCATTACTTTACTAGCATGTGAGATGAGTGCAACTGTGTGGTAGTTTGAGCATTCTTTGGGATTGCCTTTCTTTGGGATTGGAATGCAAACTGACATTTTCCAGTCCTGTGGCCACTGTTGAGTTTTCCAAATTTGCTGATATATTGAATGAAGCACTTTCACAGCATCATCTTTTAGGATTTTAAATATTTCAACTGGAATACCATCACCACCACAAGGTTTGTTCATGGTGATACTTCCTAAGGCCCACATGACTTCACATTCCAGGATGTCTGGCTCTAAGTGAGTGATCACACCTTCGTGATTATCTGGGTCATGAAGATCTTTTTTGTACAGTTCTTCTGTGTATTCTTGCCACCTCTTCTTAATATCTTCTGCTTCTGTTAGGTCCATAGCATTTCTGTCCTTTATTGAGCCCATGTTTACATGAAATATTCCATTGGTATCTCTAATTTTCTTGAAGAGATCTCTAGTCTTTCCCATTCTATTGTTTTCCTCTATTTCTTTGCACTGATCGCTGAGGAAGGCTTTCTTATCTCTCCTTGCTATTCTTTGGAACTCTACATTCAAATGGGAATATCTTCCCTTTTCTCTTTTGCTCTTCGCTTCTCTTCTTTTCACAGCTATTTGTAAGGCCTTCTCAGACAGCCATTTTGCTTTTTTGCATTTCTTTTTCTTGGGGCTGGTTGACCCCTGTCTCCTGTACAATGTCACGAACCTCTGTCCATAGTTCATCAGGCACTCTGTCTATCAAATCTAGTCCCTTAAATCTATTTCAAGTCAAGTCAAGTCAACAGTGAGCAGCTTTTCTCTATTGGACAAGACAGGAGAACATAATCAGGAATAAAGTCCTATCTTCCCCAGATCTCTTGCTTAGTTTTGGTTTTTTTGTTTTGATTTTTTTCTTTTTTTGCCTCTCCGTCTTCTCTCTTCCACTAGCTTTTAGTTTAATGGCTTAGAACTACCTCAAATATCCTTAAAGGCAGACAAGCACAAGAGTTAGTTAAATAAGAAATTCATCCGGGGGATCAGGTACTTTTTTTTGTGAGTAATAAGGACATGGTCAGTAGTCTTTAACTTTCAGAGATCTTTCAGGCTGCATATTTGTTTTTGGTTGTTAACTAAAATTTTCTTTCTTTTTAAGAATGTTGGTGCCATTAGGGAGTTTGTACATAATTTTAATAGTTTTAAGTAGTTTTAAAATACAGATCTTCCTCCATCTTATTGTAAGTTGAAAATGCATTTAATATACCTCACCTACCGAAGATCTTAACTTAGCCCAGCCTGCCTCATGCATCCTCAGAACATTTACATTACTTTCTGGGCAAAATCATCTACCATAAAGTCTGTGGTATAATAAGGTGTTGAAAGTGTCCTGTAATTTATTGAATACTGTATGGAAGTAAAAAGACAGAATGGCTCTAAGTACATTAGTTATTTACCCTCACAATCATCTGGTTCACTAGGAGCTACATACAGCTCAATGCCACTAGCCAACATCACCAGACAGTCTCAGACTGCATGCCGCAACCCAGGAAAAGAGCAAAATTCAAAATTTTAGATATGGTTTCTACCAAACATGTATTGCTTTTGCACCATAACAAAGTCAAAAAATTGCAAGTTGAACCATTGTGAGTCAGTGATCATCTGCATTTCTTAATGATTTTTTAAATGACCAACTGGTCATAAGATAAACTTGACAAATTATCTTTATTAATGCCAAACATCAGTTCAGTTCAGTCACTCAGTCATGTCCGACTCTTTGTGACCCCATGAGTTGCAGCACGCCAGGCCTCCCTGTCCATCACCAATTCCCGGAGTTTACTCAAACTCATGTCCATCGAGTCAGTGATGTCATTCATATGGCAGCAAATTTGCACAAACTAAGGTAAATGCATCAGTTAAGTGACGAGTGCAGAACGTCTCTTATCTTCCCAGTGTTTTACACAAAATTATGTTTTCTTTTTGGAATAAGAGTGTAGTAACTTGCAAGGGTCTATCTATAACAATAAAGTGAAAGTGAAGGTTGCTCAGTTATGTCCGACTCTTTGCGATCCAATGGACTGTACAGTTCATGGAATTCTCCAGGCCAGAATACTGGAGTGGGTAACTTTTCCCTCTCCAGGGGATCTTCCCAACCGGGGATAGAACCCAGGTCCCCACATTGCAGGCGATTTCTTTACCAGCTGAGCCACAAAGGAAGCCCTAACAAAGATAAGTTTTTAAAATGTGGTTTTTGAAATAAATTTTTAAAATGTGGTTCACTAAGGCCATCCTTCAGTCTGGCTTTGTAGTTTATTTCCAGGATAATTCAGAAACTTCCAAAAGGGGGACTAGATTGTTTTAAATTAGTCACAGTTAAAGTTGATGCACAATCAGGTTTGCGAGCCTCTGCCTGGGGTTTACAAAAAAGCATCTCAGTTTCCCTTATTAAAAAGTAGCTATAATGATAATACAGAAAGTGAAACTGTTAGTTGCTCAGTTGTGTCTGACTCTTTGCAAATCCATGGACGGTAGCCCACCAGCCTCTTCTGTCCACGGAATTCTCTAGTCAAGAATACTGGAGTGGTTTGCCATTTCCTACTCCAGAGATGATCATATGGAAACACTACCAAAACAATCTGAAAAATACAAATAAAGAGAAAAAGAAATGTTTTCCAGCTAATGGTGACTTTCTACATTACTTGAATCCCAGATATTTAGGACTTTTCATTGAATATAATACTGTAAAGTCACTGAGAGGAAAAATTAGTTTATACCTTTTTTGTGTACTAAGCCCCCTTTTTAAATCCCCCAAATACTAGGGATGTAAAGCTTAAGAAAGGGGAAGACACTATCATTTATTGACTGTGTTTGTTTTGTCCATTGCATATGTTCTCCTATAGTTCTTGCCTAACAACTATTGCCATTCTGTAGATTTTAAAAAACCACTGACATACAGATTGGTAAATGTTAATTAAAAAAAAAACAAACTTAAATTGAGCTTTTATTGTGTGTCAGATATAGGGCTAAGTTTTGAGGAAGCAAATTTAATGAGACAGGGTTCTGTGATAGATTAATTTTCATCCATTCAATAAGTACTCTATAATGTTAAAGGGGCCTTATTGAAATTTCTTATAAGGTACTGTGAGGTCACAAGGTTGAGTGGAAATTCTTTGCAGAAAGGGTATGAAATGAGAAAACATTTTGAAAATAATTTTGGGGGCTGAAACATGAAGGTAGAGCTCATAAGGCAGAAGATATAGGAAGAACTCCTCAACATAGTGGGAATGGTGAGCAGATATAGAGATATATAAACAGTCTGGCAACTTTGAGCACTTATAGGCTGCAATAGGGAGAATTAGAGCCTTGGGATGCATAGCCAGAGTGAGGATAGAGTCAAGTGAAGTAGTCTGGACTGTAGTGTGTGAGCAATGATGAGCTGCAAAAAGATATTAAGTACAGAAATAAGAAGGTATGTCCCTGGTAGCTGTGGAGTAGAGCAGTATGGAAAAGTCAGATAGGAGACTCCAGTAGTTGAGGGAGGGACCATGAGCACTTGAATGATGGACATTCCATTGGAGAAGGGAAAAAGATGATGTATTGGAGAGAGAGTGAAATGTATTGATGGTGTTATTTTGTAGAGGAAAGAAGGAAGGAAAACTATTTCCTGATTCAGGTGACTGAATAGCTAGTGGTGACATCAAGTTAGGAAATACTTGGCGATGAAGAGGAGCAGAGTCAAAGGAAAGGTGATGAGTTCAGTTATGAACACCTGAGGTTGAGGATCCTGTAGGACATCCAGCTGGATTTTGGAGACAGCTGGAATGGTGGGTATTGAAAGTTGAAATACAAGGTATTTATAAATCATTGGGAAGTGAGAAAGTGAGCAAGAAGTGAAAGGATGGAGGGAGAAAATGGTACCAGGGGAGAAATGTTGAGATACAGGTGGCTTGAGGATAGTTATGATTGCTTGCAAGGACAAATTTGAGAAATAGGAGGGGAGCTAAGAACAGGTAAATAGATTCCTGAGGAGCACAAAGGGTCCAATGAGGTCAAAGACATGTTTTGAGATAGAAGCTCTGAATTTTCATTGTGATTTTCCCCAAGGCGGACTGAGAAGGAAGGCACATAAATGTAAATCTACATTTAAATATTTTAATCAAATTATTAAAGATTTTAACAAGTAGTTTACTGTTATCTGTATCATTTTACTGACAATTTTAGGTGGTTGAATTCTGTAAAGAAAAAAATCATAATAAAGAAGCCCCAAACGAGCAAAACAAGAAATGCAATCTCCGAAGCACATGGGAAGTGATCCAAGATTCAGAGGATTTTAAGACAACAACTCCTATGACAACACAGCCACCCAAGCCCACCTTCTCATTGCTGCAGATCGGACAAAGAATTGTGTGTTTAGTCCTTGATAAGTCTGGAAGCATGACAGTAAGTTCAGTGGGTCTTGGTCTTCTGGATGCTCATCTCATATTTCTATATGATATGATCTAGACCACAACTTGGAGCTGGCTGCGAATAAGCACAACCCCAAAGGTCAGAACAGTTACAAGCATAACATTTCCATCAGAAAAGGCCACCTTCACTTTATTCAACAAAAATTCAGCATCAAGTGTCTCATTTGCCAAATAGCTTTCAATTTGTGAGCAAAGATCTGATGAACTATATAGAATTAACCTTTTGTTTTTTATTTTCCTGACAATATGTACACTTATAAAACTATTTCTAGGCCATTGAACTAATGAACTAAAGCCAAACCTGGATATAGCTTTTAGAGTTATTTATACAAAAGCCCTGAAATTGTATCCAAATATACTACTAAATACAAAGGAGAAATTTTCCTCCCTAGAAGGATATGCCTTGAGTAAGCTTGTTATTATTTACTCTGCACTGAGGCAACTACTTCCAAATTCCCTCTGTTCTCTTATCAGGCTGCCGGTCCAAACCTAACCTGACTTCTTTTCTTCTGCTTTTCCATTTAGATTGGTAACCGCCTTAACCGACTGAATCAAGCAGGCAAACTCTTCCTTCTGCAGACGGTTGAGCAAGGGTCCTGGGTCGGGATGGTGACGTTTGACAGTGCTGCCTACGTAAAAAGTGAACTTGTTCAGATAAACGGTGCCACTGAAAGGGATGCGCTTACCAAAAGCTTACCCACAGCAGCTTCGGGAGGAACATCCATCTGCTCTGGGCTTCGATCGGCCTTCACTGTGAGACAAGTTCCCCTATCATAGTTTACCAGTGTTTACAGTTTATGTCTCCTAAGAAATTACCTTTTCCAGTATTTCTATGCATGCCTCATGTCTAGCTGAATTAGACAACCAAGGGCAAAGCAATGGTCCAAATGATGCAGTAACACAGGCCCCCAAAACTATTGTTAACTAATTCATTCACGCTTTTGTGTTTTTCTGCATCTGTGCATTCATGCTTTTCTGCTTTCATTTGAAACATTCATGGTGTTACTTCTACAGGCCAGGCACTGCAATGTGCCAGGCATTAAGAGTACCATGAGGGCCAAACATATCACACCTGCTGTCATGGAGCTTAAAATCTTACTGGGGGAAGATTCATTAACCTCATAGTCACATAAATAAGTGTATAATCACACACTAAGGTATGCTATGAGGAAGGTACCCAGGGACATAAGAGAATATCTTCTCTGAAGAAAAAAGTAAACTCAGAGTTATGGTTAAATTTTGAAGTAGATTAACATTCCAAACTTTTGGGTATATAAGACCTCTTTTTGGGCAAGCAAATGGTTTAAGTTTGAAATAGGATGGCTTAGGAACTGCGAGTCTAATTGTATTAGGGATGTATCCAAAGATCCCATCTGATCATCCAATCATGTCACCCCTCTACTTAGGTCTCAATCTCTCCCCATTTTCAACAAACTAAGTAAAATTTCTCAATTTAATATTTAATTTATTTTATAATATAGCCCCTACCTACCTTTCCAGGCTTAAGTATCTGGGACTCTCTTCCAGGTATTTGTGCTTAAGCAAATTAGATCACCTGTCCTTTGCCAGCAGTCTCCACACTTTTGCCCAGCCAGCTCCCTACTTAATTTTCTGTCCCTCCTTTGTATCTCTAATCATACTCTTCCTTCATATATCCATCACAGACACTATCTATATCCTGATCCTTTCAACTGTATAGAGTTTCACTTTCTGAATCCTATGAACTTGTTTTCTACTTTTAAAAATATCTCAAGAGTTTTAGCTCTTCTGTCTTCTTTCCTGTCATGTCCTTTGCTCAAACAAAATTTGTTCTGAGATATGAATTATCTTTTAACTTCTGGCACAATATCTTTTATATAGGAGGTTCTCAATAAATAAAATTAAATTGAGCTATTTGATTATATCAGATGCTTAAATGATCCAAATATAAACTATATTATATTTATTAGAGGTTATTTAGTCCCATGAAATAAATAATAGGAGGCTTAGAGAAGCTGTCTGGTCTAAGGTCTCAGAATCTCCGCAGGGTCTTGGGAAAGTCTACCTTCTGCCTGCTTGGGGCACAACATATCAATGGAGCTATTCCCGATTTCCAAGCAGCAGCAGGAATATTTAGTTTTCAGCTCACATGTTTCATGTTGACAGTGGACTCAAGCATTCCCTCATATGCAGTCTGACCCTTTGGCCCTTTTATTCCACTTTGCAGATCAGAAGTGGATTTTATTGCATACACAGTCAGCTTCAAAACCCTTCTCCAGATGCCTTTGTGCACCTGGGTTCTCTTGCCTCTGCCACTCACCCACACACTTTGATTAAAGAAGCAAGTAAGGGAGGGAAACTGACACTGAACTCACTGACATGTCTACTGGACTCATGCTACACAAAACCCGAGGGACGTGACTAATACCAGATGGCCTAATGGTGAAGAGGGAACTTCTGGTTCTGCATTTCCCACCGCACTGGGTGAGAGAGTATGTGAGGCACACAGTTGGAATTTAGATGCTCCTCCTGCCCTATAGAGCCCAGGTATGGGGTGGGAGGAGCTTGTTTGTGACCACACACAGGCAAAGGAGTGATGAGGTGATGAGGCAAAGGGCCTTGGATCCTGCCCTGTCTCAAGTTCCCTGCTGGCCCCTGGTGAGGACCCTGGTCAAGTATGGCAGTGGTGTCTGTTGAGCTGGGTCCACTGGACTTTACCTGCTTTCTTAGCTTGATCAGTGCCCATTGGTTTTCCCCCAGCTGACTCACCACACTCTGGCTCTCAATGCTGGAGCACAGCCCTGAGCACCCCCATGTCCTGCATCTAGCCCTTGGGAGGTTTCACACCCCTTAGCTTCTAGGACAAGATAAATTGTCCTCTTGCCTGCCAATTCTCAAGTCAGCTGATTTCCATTTCCCCTATGGATACTTGCGGACTTCTGCATGTTTTCCATGACACATAGCAATGATGGGGAGTGGGACAAGGCAATCCAAATTGAGCCCTTCCTCTGTCCTCTCAGGGGCTTCTCTGGTGGCTCAGATAGTAAGAAATCTGCCTGCAATGCAAGAGACCTGGGTTCAATCCCTAGGTTGTAACAATCCCTAGGAGAAGGAAAGGCAACCCACTCCAGTATTCTTGCCTGGAGAATCCCATGGACAGACCATAGAGTCACAAAGAGTCAGACATGACTGAGTGAGCCCTACAGCTTGGTCAGACTGAGGTCTCAACCACAGCTGACAGGCTCCTGCGCTCCAGGCTTCCTCACATGACAGCCGTCAGAGTTCTGCCTTCATCCTTTGTGGAGCAGCCCCCTCTCAAAAGGAGTGGGGCAGAAGTCTCCACTGCTTTCAGCTTCTCTTTTAACCTACATTGAGTTTCTTCCCTCCCTGAGAGTCTGGTGCAGAGATTGGAGTTACTTAGAATTACTTGTTTCCTCTACATCTGAGTCTCCCTTCCTCTTTTTAAGGGAAGGTGAACTCTTGCCTTCCTCTTCATAAACATTATAATATTTATCTGATTTTCCTTCTTATCCAATTTTGGCACAAGGCATAACTTCTCTATACCACATAAAAAACATAATCTGGGTCTACCAGGAATAGTTGAGACATAGGTGCCATAAGACAACTAGGAACTAGGGATTACTAGGAACAAAATGTTTTGCTTTCATCAGAGGGGATATTAAAAATTTTAGTAATTCATGTGAACTGCTGCTGCTGCTGCTGCTAAGTCACTTCAGTCATGTCCGACTCTGTGCGACCCCGTAGACAGCAGCCCACTAGGCTCCCCTGTCCCTGGGATCCTCCAGGCAAGAACACTGGAGTGGGTTGCCATTTCCTTCTCCAATGCATGCAAGTGAAAAGTGAAAGTGAAGTCGCTCAGTTGTGTCCTATTCTTAGTAACCCCATGAACTGTAGCCCACCAGGCTCCATCCATGGGATTCTCCAGAATGAGAGTACTGGAGTGGGGTACCATAGCCTTCTCTACATGTGACCTGGGAACTGACCAATCAGAATCAAGGCCAGCCATAAACAGCTGGAATGGTAAGACAGATGAGTACCAGGCAAGCTAAAATCTGCCATGAGTCTAATATGATAATAGTAATATATTAGTCCCCATTATTATCCCTATTAAATCAGGGTGATTTCTGAATTCATCTAGGAACCTCTGAAAGCCTGTCAAGGAGACATCATGTGAAGGAAACTAGAAAACCCTTCGTTTCTGCATCCCTAGAGCTGTCCATTCCTGGGGCTGCCCTGTATCCCAACTTACCGAGCCTTCTCTGCAATAGGTTAACCAAGGGAAAAAAACCATTGTCAAGTTCCATGAATCTTGCTGATTTATAATTGTATCACTGCAAGACAGAGAGATATTTGACCATTCCCAGACACTTTTGTTTATTACCTCTAGAATTTCTCTTCTCGTTCCCTTTAATTGCAGTTTTCCCAATACTTTGGCTACCCTGAGTGTGACAACTCATGCCTGAATTATGTCCTTAGGTGATTAAGAAGAAATATCCAACAGATGGAGCTGAAATCATCTTACTGACCGATGGGGAGGACAACACTATAAGTGCATGCTTTGATGAGGTGAAACAAAGCGGAGCCATCATCCACACAGTTGCCCTGGGGCCATCTGCAGCGCCGGAACTAGAGGAGCTGTCAAAAATGACAGGTGAAGGGTGACCTGCTGAGTCCCACTGTATTTTCTCTTCCACTGGACTTTGAGCTCCAGTGCACTGGGGAGTAGGGGAAGGGTAGGGTAAGGAGGTATGGGATTATTTTACTGACCAATCAGCTGCCCTTACCCCCAAGTGACTTTAGAACCTGCTCCACTCATTTATTCTAATGCCTTGTTTCTAGGATTAGGGCAGTCTGGAGAAGATGGGACCAGCACACCACTTGGGACTCTCCTCCCAGACACCTTATAAAGATTGGAAAAAATCTGAAAGGTTAACTAGGAGCTATTCACTTCCAGTTGGCAGCTGACCAAGAGACCCTGGGGAGACAGAGGACAAGCCACTAACTATATAATACCATGATACAAGTGCTCTGTTAGTAAGAGAGGGTACAATGAGCACGAAGAAGGGAGCCTAGACTTCATCTGGGGAAGAAGTGTACAGGAAGGTGACATCTGAACTGGGACTTGAACAGGAAGTAGCAGGGGAAAAGCAAAGTGCCTGCTGAACCACACAGAAGGTCACTCTGAAAACATAGAATGTAATGCAGGTTCTTTGTAAAACATTCATATATTGTGCTTCACCTTCCATATGCACATGGTTAAAATAGATCCCACCTCAACTATTCTTCAGCAGAGTGGGTTTTTATTACTTAAAAATTTTTTTAACCTAGGGCCAGAATTATTGATATCAATTGCTGAATTGTAATGTGAGCCAGCTAAAACAACAGACTGTTTGCTTTTAGAAGTATTTGTCTTATGCTGGGATTCCTAGAAGCAGAGCCTGAGAAAGCGGTGGGTGCATGTGATTTACAGAAGGAGAGCTCTCAGGTGAAAGGGGCAGTAGGGACTAAGATCGGGCAGGGGAAGAAGCTAAGCACCGATGTGAATTAGGAGGCCAGCTGAAGCCTGACCTCACAGGAGGCTCTGAATCTAGAACTGCAAAACAGATTTGGTCCAATCTTCAAAGACAGACCATTGTACCACTGTGTCCATCAGTCAGTGGTTAAAAAATGTCAGGGTAGGGCAGGGGTGAGTGGGGCATGCTGTTCTTTACCTAGGGTGGCCCCATTTTGTAAGGCAATTTTCTGAAAAGGAGGCAGCTATATGCTGTTTGGCTAACACTCAGAGCTGCTGGGGAGAGATGCATTAGCCTAGATAAGGGGATCTGGGTGAGGCACCAACAGGATGACCAAAACACTCTCCTCAGATTTTAGATGTCACTGACAGTTTAAAAGTGCCTTAACATCAACTATCTTAGTTACACTTGTTCCAAATAGGTGTAGATTACATGGCTGGTATATCATTTCATGTTTACTACATACAATGCTTTTCTATAACCATCACTTGTCAGTTATTTCTTACTGCTGTAACATACACATTTTTTCTGATTTAAGAGAAAACTTGAAAGTCAAGCTTGCTAAGATTATGTGTAAAATAAGAATAAATCAATACGCTTGCAGTGAGGCTTAATGGCTCATATGATAGTGCATGACCTTTAAAACACAAGATTTATATTACTAGTTTTGGTCTATCAGGGATTCTTAACTGCTTTGCAGAGGGCTGAAGTAGCCAAATGATGATGTTGCTGAAGAATTTGTTTAGTAGGATTAAAATATTATTAATAGTATCAGTTTCTGAGTTAATCTGGACACCTATTTAATGTTAATCTATTCATATGAAAGCTTTAATAGCAGAAAAGAGTAAGTATTTTGTGTATTTTATCTTAATTGCTAAAATGTTGCAGATACTTGTTTTCTAGAAAATAACTTCTGATAACAAAATTGCATTCTAGGAGGTCTGCAGACATATGCTTCAGATCAGGCTCAGAACAATGGCCTCGTGGATGCTTTTGCGGCCTTTTCATCAGGAAACAAAGCTGTCTCCCAGCGCTCCATTCAGGTCAGAGTTCCTCCTCAGTTTTTCATGTTTATTAAAAACTACAACCAAGATAGGGAGTGTCATGGTTATAAGTTTAAAGTTCCACATTCTTCTAATAATGAATTAAAATTAAAATAGAAGCTTCAGCCTGATATTAGCCATTACTTCTAAAATGCAACAGTATTCCTTTAAACAAGGCAATCAGTGCTTCTAATTTGGAAGCAATACTAAGTGACTTCCTCCTGGAAACCATCAACATAAAATGTAATGGGTCCAAGAATTCTTTTTTAACATATGTTAAGAAGCACCCATAGCAATATAATTGGCCCAGAATTTTCTTCAGAGTAGATCATCTCAATATAAATTATCTGGAACAAATGTTCAGGGATTACTTGGTCTTTTTTTCCATTACCTCAAATCCCTGATATTTGTCAAGATTTTCCTATAAAGAGTGGAAAGTGATTTGTACTGTGAAAAGCCGATGTAGTCAGTCCAGACACCTGGATCCTGTTCCTGGGTCTGTCATTAACTGTGACCATGGGCAAAGAACTTCACCTCTCTGGACTTAAGTTCTCAGCCAGACATGAACCAGAAAATTTCTGTGGTCCCTTCTGGTTCTAGAATTGCAAGAAAACAGAATTTTCTTTCAAAAGTCTTGGGACAATAAAAAATGGACAAATATATTTTTAAGTGCTCTTTCCTAATGGCTGTAAATGTGAATCTTTAAACTAGAGAGAGTGAACAGTCAGCACCACACCTGTGTGAGTTGTAACTTTTATTGTGAATGAAAGTAAAAATAATGTAAATCAAAGCCAAATAATGACCTACTGTATAGCACAGGGAGTTCTAATCAATACTCTGTAATAGCCAATATGGGAAACGAATCTATATGTGCTCCTCTGGTGGCTCAGTGGTAAAGAATCTGTCTGCAATGCAGGAAACATGAATTCAATCCCTGAGTTAGTAAGAACCCCTGGAGAAGTAAATGGCAACCCACTCTAGTATTCTTACCTGAAAAATGCCATGGACAGAGGAGCCTTGATGGGTTATAGCCCATGGGGTCACAAAAGAGTCAGACAAGACTTAGCAACTAAACACAACAAATGTACATGTATAACTGATTCACTTTGCTGTACTCCTGAAACTAACACAACACTGTACATCAGCTATACTCCAATAAAAAAATTTTTAAAGACAAATAATGTCAGGTTTCAAAACAATAGGCTTTTTAGTCTATCAAAAAGTCTATTTATTCAGTCAAAGAATATAGCAGTTACACTCATTTACTAGTTCAGATTTAGAATATTAAACCCAAGAGCCTGATTTGAACACAGGAGGAACATGTCTTAGAAAAGTAATTAAACTGATTAATTGGCAAGTTCACAGTCAGGCAGTTTCTGCCCATTATTTTTATATTTAAGAAACCTAAAAGGGAGGGAGATTGAGACATGAGTAGGACTCATTTCCCTACCTGTCATAAGAACAAGATCTAAGGGCCCCTTGTTTTCTTCACATCTTAGACCATAATCTATTTTCAAAACTAGAAAGTTGGGCTCGATGACCAGACCATCCTATCTTCTAATATATATTTGTTTAAAGACCATAAATAATTAACTAGGAGATAATCCTGAAAAATTATACTTTCTACAAAGTCTGGTTAGCCCTTCCCTACTTCAACCCCTGCACTACAGCTCTGTCATTCTCCTCTGGATAACAAATCAACCTTGGGCATTGACTTATTTCACTTACCTTCACAGGGACTGCAATAATTGACCTAGGACTTAGTTATTTGCAAGTCAAACAATCCAGATGTGGGTCAAAATAAGTCCTAGTTAGTCCCCTTAAGGGTTTAAGTCCAGTAATAAGATGAGACATACAGTATACTGGTAGGTATAAAGCAAAACACAATGTGAGGACATCAAAGGATTGATAGAAACAAGATCCACTCACAGACTTAGAGAATGAAATTAGGGCTTCTGGGAGAAGGATGGGAGGAGGGGGGTAGTTGGAGAGTTTAGGATCGACATATATACACTGCTATATTTTAAATGGACCTACTGTATAGCACATGGAACTCTGTTCAATGTTATGTGGCAACCTGGATGGGAGGGGAGTTTGGGGGAGAATGGATACATGTGTATGTATGGCTGAGTCCCTTCATTGTTCACCTGAAGCTATCACACCATTGTTTGTTAATTGGCTATACCCCAATACAAAATTTAAAGTTTTCAAAGAAAAAGATACTGTGGGAGATCAAAGGAGGGAGAGCTTATTCTTTGCTGGTGAGATGGACATCAAGTGACTTTCAAATTGAATTTTGAAGGGCAGGTAAGGCTTAGACAAATGGAGATGAATGTATAGATTTCCAGGAAAAGCAGAGAGTGTGGTAGTCAGAGAGTCAGAGATTCATGAAGATCATAAGAGGAAGTGGTCTTGTTTGGGTGTCAGAATCAACATTATGGAAGCTAAGGCTGGAAAAGTCATTTATTATTGGATCATTAAAAAAAAGAAGAATTGGATCATAATAGGTACTAAACATCAAACCAAGTTCTTAGGTACCACTGAAGTCTTTTTAATGGAGCAACTAATAGTTGGAGGCAAAATGGAAGCTATTATGTGATGGGAGCTGTATTCTCCAGAAAGTAAAGAATTGTATACTTACTTTACAGCTTGAGAGTAGGGGATTAACCCTCCAGAACAGTCAGTGGATGAATGGCACAGTGACTGTGGACAGCACTGTGGGGAAAGACACTTTGTTTCTCATCACCTGGACAACTAATCTTCCCCAAATCCTTCTCTGGGATCCCAGTGGAAAGAAACAAGATGGCTTTGTAGTGGATACAAGCACCAAAATGGCCTACCTTCAAATCCCAGACATTGCCAAGGTATGGGCTCATCTTTTTTCCTTCTTACAATTTGATAAGATAAAATTTTTACAGAATAATTGCAGCTTTTTAAATGATAGTGGTTGCTAAAAAAAAAAAAAAAAAGTCAGTGTTGAATGAAAGAGAACAAGGAAAAAACTCCATTCAATGGGAATCACTCAGTATGACAGCAAGTCTCCTCAGTTCAGTCGCTCAGTTGTGTCCGATTCTTTGCAACCTCATGGCCTGCAGCATGCCAGGCCTCCCTGTCCATCACCAACTCCTCGAGCTTACTAAGACTCATGTCCATCGAGTCAGTGATGCCATCCAGCCAGCTCATCCTCTGTCATCCCCTCCTCCTCCTGCCTTCAATCTTTCCCAGCATCAGGGTCTTTTCCAGTGAGTCAGTTCTTCACATCAGGTGGCCAAAGTGTTGGGGTTTTAGCCTCAGCATCAGTCCTTCCAATGAATATTCAGGACTGATTTCCTTTAGGATGGACTGGTTGGATCTCCTTGCAGTCCAAGGGACTCTCAAGAGTCTTCTCCACACCACAGTTCAAAAGTATCAATTCTTTGGCATGCAGCTTCCTTTATAGTCCAACTTTCACACCCATATATGGCTACTGGAAAAACCACAGCCTTGACTAGATGGACCTTTGTTGGCAAAGTAATGCCTCTGCTTTTTAATATGCTGTCTAGCTTGGTCATAACTTTAGTCAAGAAAAAGGAAATCAGTGATATTTTCTCCAGGTATTAAAAGGAGAACCTTCAAATTACACAGCAGCTGATGCTTTGGCATAGTGAAAACTATTTCCTCTATTGATCCTGCTCTTGAGAAACCAATGCTATGATAAGGACATGACTTGCAAACCTCATTTTTCCCAACTAGAATTTTCTTGGCAGTAAGAACCATGTCATTAGTCCAAACATACCAAAGTTTCTCTTGACTATGAGAGTATAAAAAACCTTCCTAGATCTACTTGTAATGTACATGTATCAGATGAGCTCTTCCTGTAGTTAGCACTCAAGTCAGGTCTGTCACTTAAATTTATTAACTGGAAATGTCTCCATTTTTTTTTTTTTTTGGGCTAGATTGGCATTTGGAAATACAGCCTACAAGCAAGCTCCCAAACCCTGACTTTGACCGTCACCTCCCGCGCATCAAGTGCTACTTTGCCTCCAGTTACAGTGACCGCTAAAATGAACCAAGATACAGGCAAATTCCCTAGCCCTATGGTAGTCTATGTAAAGATTCACCAAGGAACCAAGCCTATTTTCAGGGCCAAGGTCACAGCCCTGATAGAGTCAGTGGATGGGAAAACAGTTACCTTGGAATTACTGGACAATGGAGCAGGTAACCACCCAGGAAGTGGACCCATTTTTCTTTCCCAGGAAACAACCAGGCGACTGAAGGAGGGCGTCTGTGGTGCGGAGCCCAGCACTGGGGCTGTGGTGGGCGAGCCCGCTGCCTCCCTGCAACTCCTGTACTTCAAATGTTGGGAAACATGAGCAGGGCTTGCCTTTAGCTTCTATAAAGTGAACAAAGTGGTCAGTGGGCATTCCAACCCTCTCAGAAAAGGAAAGGAGGAAAATTAATAGCTATTTTGTATTAGGTGTTTGTGATGGATAGATGGATAGATAGATCTTCATTTCTTATCTTCACCACACACTTTTGAGGTATTATGGTCCCTACATTACAGATGAAGAAAGAGGCTTTAACATTTGGAAAGCAGCAGAGATGGATTCAACTATTGTTAGATATGACTCCCCTATCTATGTGAATTCTATATTATCTTGCCCAAAGTGAAAAGTCTATTATTTTTATATTTAAGAAGTCTAACAGGGTGAGAAAAAGAAATTCAACATTTATTTTAGAAGGAACTTGACTATTTACTATAAAACAAGTAATTTTATTAAAACAAATTCTGTAAATGAATTTCCTACCTAAACCTATGCTCAGTAAAAGTCATAAATTTTAAGAAAGTAATCATACAACACTTTTTTCTCACCAGTAACATACAGTAATTCAATTCAGTTCAACAGATACTTATTGAGTAGTTACTTTGTGCTATGTTGGATGTAACAGAGACACATGACTTGATCTCTGATTTCAAAAAGAAAGACAATTCAGGAGGACAAGATGTATGCACTTGAAATTACACACACACAAAGCGGTAAAAGAAGTATACCTCACCCTTAACACAGTCAAATCCTAATTCCTTCATTAATTCCTTCATTTCTCTGTCAAGGTGCTGATGCTACTAAGGATGATGGTATCTATTCAAGGTATTTTACAGCTTATGATACAAATGGTAGATACAGTGTAAAAGTGTGGGCTCTGGGAGGAATCAACACAGCCTCTCAGAAGGTATCATCCCAGAAGAATGGAGCCATGTACATACCTGGCTGGATTGAGAATGGTGAGTAATCTGTAACAACACCCTTGGCTTGAGCAAAAGGCTTAGAATCAAGGGAAAACCAAAACCTGAGGAGAGAATGGCACAGAATTAAATCAGAGTTTCTCAACCTTGCTATTGCTGATATCTTGGCCACATAATTCTTTATTATGAAGGGCTGTCCTGTGCATTGTGAGATGTTTAGAAACACTTCTGGCCTCTATTTACTAGACGTGAGAAGCAGCCCTCACAGTCATGACAATCAAACATATGTCCAGACATCATTCACTGTTCTCTAGGTAACAACATAGCACCTAGTTAAACCATCAGATTGAATATAGATTTTGACTGCCTTGGTTCAATTCCAGCCTTCTACCAGATAAAATATTTTAGGTACTCTCTTGTGCTTTGTCTGCCTCACTTGTCAAAAACGTAATAATAGTAACTACCTCATGGAATGGTTATGACGAATAAATAAGAAAATGCATCTAAATAAGCTATTGCTGGTAAACAAGAAGCATTCAATAACTGTTTTTACTTTTAATAATATTTCAAAAGATTTTGTAATTATGCTCTTTCTACTGATATAGGCATGTCCACAGAATCAAAAAAATAACAATTCAGGTCTTGTTATCTGCATCAGTATCACCATAAGCACACTGTCTCCTTTTCCTCCTCTCTTCTTCTACCAGACCAGGGATAATAGTAGACAAACCTAATAACAGACCAAACACTGAGCCCACATGTAAGGAAGTGGAGAAATTATGGTCCGTGGGACAGAGAGTCCCGTACCAATCTTCGTTATGAACACTTGTCCTTGAGTAGAGTTGGAGAGCTGGAATCAGACCTGAGACTGAGTCCTGCTAGGTTCTAGGACTTATTTTCCACCAATATCCATTATGTCCTGGATAAGTCTTGTCCTAGCTCTGGTGTATCGTAAGAACAGCTCTTCCAAGAAGCTTCCCACTGTCCTCTTTACTTGAGTGTGTACTCAGAAAAGGGAAGATTCTGAGACAAGTGGTATGCCCTCAAGCAAAGTTGACCACAGGGGAAAATATTTTAAAAGATACTGTTGCTTTCAAAGCTCTTTTACGTATTTCAGCTTAGTTTATCCTCATTTGCTCTTCAGCTTGAGTCAAGGAAAGAAGTCAGGAGGAAACTGGTAGAGTGAATATATCTAGCAGTGTTATATTTGCATTAGTATATCTCATTCTCCTAATTATGTCATTTTACAGATGGAGGAACAGAGACTAGAGAGGTTATCAGTCCACATTACTAATAGTGATAAAACCTGATTTGGCATCAGGAAGCCATGTTTTTCCCCCATCCCCTGATGAGTTTGGTACCAAGAGAGACCATCTTTTCTGGTGAATTGGACTAAACTTAAATCTCCTAAAGTATTCATCTAATCTTTGCCCAAGACCAGATTAATTGGTATAAAGATCAATCTGTCTTTATAGACAAAAAAAATTATAAGGGCTAAAAAAGTAGAGTTTATGAGAAAGTAAAGTCTGAGTAATGTAATATTAAGATATTATAGAATATTTTTATTGCAAAGAAAGTCTAAGAACCCCACTGATTGAACAGGTCATGGATTTTCAGAATTTTAGGATGACTTTTATACAAATTTCCAGCAAGAATGTGAAGCAAATTGGAATTGCTACATTAACTAGATTTCCATGCATTCATTGAGAAAATCAAGTCTTACAAAAGCACACAATTTAGAATCCCTAACATAAAACATTTTGTGAGAAACTACAATCTAATAAGGAAGATAAAACACTAATATGGAGAGGAAGAGAAAAATTCAAAGAATAGACAATCAAGGCAATTCTTGAATCCCAGATAAATGATTAAGAAATAAATAGGAAAGACAAGAAAACCCACAGTATTACCTAGGTGGAAGAGACTGCTTGAGGAAGTCTGAGAAGGTTTAAAGCAGAGGTAGTATTTAAACTGATGTTGTGGCAGGTTAAGATTAGGATAAGATAGTAGGATAGCAAAAACATAGGATAGGGTGGAAGGTGTAAGGGAGGTTCAAGAGGAGAGGGATTTATGTATACCTATGGCTGATTCATGTTGACATATAGCAGAAACCAACACAATATTATAAAGCAATTATCCTCCAATTTAAATTTAAAAAAAAAAACTCACACACACAAAATCAATTCCAGGACAAGTGTATTTATAAAAAACAAATTGTGGAAGCTATCCCACTAAATATCCAGGAAATAAATGTATGAGATAAAGAACTATGATTCTTTTTGCTTTTTCCCCTCTGATGTGACCTGATTTGGGAGCTTTACAACACATAAAGTAAGTTTTGTGCATGGGAAGAAAGAAGGGAAGCATAAGAAGAGGGCAACTCAGTGACAAAACAGAGGGAAGTATAACCATTTCATGGTGTTATCTGTCTTAACTGAGGAATTTTTTAATGCAGGTGAAGTAAAATGGAATCCACCAAGACCTGAAGTTAACAAGGATCAAGACAAGCAAGTATGTTTCAGCAGAACTTCCTCGGGAGGTTCATTTGTGGCCACCGATGTTCCAAAGGCCCCCATAGCTGATCTCTTTCCACCGTGTAAGATTACTGACCTGAAGGCAAAACTCCAAGGGGACAATCTCATTAACCTGACTTGGACGGCTCCTGGGGATGATTATGATCACGGAACAGGTAAGCTGAACGTGGTATGGACTCTGTAGAGGGGTTTAGCAGCCAAGCAGAGGGGCAGAGGGTGGGAGGCAGGCAGGTGTGCTATGATGTATTTAGAGGGCAGAAGGCAGGAGGGACCTGGAATGTCTCTGAGATGACAGTTTAAGACTTTTAAACACGAGAAGTTTGGAATCTGAACAACTGGCCTATATAGGTGTAAGATATTTCAACCAGGAATAGCAATCCTCAGTTTTTTTTTCCTGAAATCTTGCCAAGCTGTGCTTTAATAGACCTCATTTTTAGTAATGTCTCTTGGAGAGAACTGGGAATAGAGTTACTATAGAGCAGAGTTGTCCTTTGGAAGAAACCTCAGATTCTACTAGATTTTTTCTTTCAAAATATGGTCTGTGGATTGCAGCATGGGCATCACATGAATGCACGGTAGAAGTGTAGAACTGGGTCTACAGAACCAGAATCTGCATTTTAAGATCCCTGGATGCTGTGTGTGTATATTCAAGTTTGAGAAGCACAAATAATAAAATAATAAGCAGTAATTATCTCCTCTCTCAGTCAGGTACTATGGCCAGAAATAATTAGCTAGGCTTTAAGTCAAGCCTGATCCAGTTTTACATTTATCACTCTGTCAGAATTGAAAAGGGAACAGGATATAAAAATTAAAATGTAAAAAAAGAGAAGATACTAGTGCTTATAAAAATGGGCCATCAATTTCATTTATTAATTGGTATTTTATAGGATGGTGATATTGTATCTAACAGATTTTTAAAAACTTTGACTTGAGGATTACAAATCACGTCCTTTTTTTAATTATGTTTTAGCTGACAAGTACATCATTAAAATAAGCACAAATATTCTTGAGCTCAGAGACAAGTTCAATGAATCGCTTCAAGTGAACACTACTCATCTCATCCCAAAGGAGGCCAACTCAGAGGAAGTCTTTGTGTTTAAACCAGAAGCCATCACTTTTACAAACGGCACAGATCTCTTCATTGCTATACAGGCTGTTGATAAAGTCAGCCTGAAGTCAGAAATCTCCAACATTGCACAAGTGTCTTTGTTTATTCCTCCAGAGATTCCTCCAGAGAAACCAAGTCCTTCTCTTCCTTGTCCTGATATTAGCATCAACAGCACCATTCCTGGTATCCACATTTTAAAAATTATGTGGAAGTGGCTAGGAGAATTGCAAATTTCCTTGGGCTGAGTTTTCCTGAGATAAATCATTCATCCTTCTTTTGATTATAAAAATTTATAAAATGTATTTTAGATTTCCTTATGAGGCAATTTAATGAAATAAAATACTAAAAACTGGATACACATACATAAAAAGTATCTATTCAAATCCAAAAATTTAATCATTGTTCACTTATTAATTACTTGAGTACAGAAAGAAGGGGTGCTTGCATCAATAAATGGAAATATGTTTAATTTGATTTGAGGAACTTTGCCAGTTATAAAAGAACATGTAATTATATTGAAATATGCCAGAAATGCCCAGCTAGGTCAAACTATTTAAATATAAAAGGCATGTTCAATATTATATAGCAACATAAATGGGAAAAAAATTTCAAAATGAATAGGTGCATGAATATGTATAACTGAATTACTTTGCTGTACATCTGAAACTAACACATTGCTAATCATCTATACTGCAAAACAAAATAAAAAGTTAAAAATAAATAAATAAATATAAAATTCATGACTTGTTATAGAAGAAATTTGGACCAACATTACCAAGATTGTATATTCTTTTTCTCTAGATTTGGGCAAAGATGATGCATTTAGAAAAGAGATTGCATTGTAGTTTCCCTGGTGGTTCATCTAGTAAAGAATCCTCCTGCAACACGGGAGACCTGGGTTCGATCCCTGGGTTTGGAAGATCCCCTGGAGAAGGGAATGGCTACCCACTCCAGTATTCTGACCTGGAGAATTCCATAGACTGTATAGTCCATGGGGTCTCAAAGAGTCGGACACGACCGAGCGACTTTCACTTTCACTTTGCATTGTGGAAGGAAATAACAGCATGGTAAAGGCTCCAAAGGCACAGAAATGTATGCAATGTGCATGTAATTATGAGTCAAAGATGCCTAAAGCCACAGTGGTGGCATATGCAGTAGAAAAGTAGGTTCAGGCCAGGTGTGAAGGAAAGTGATTGAGAAAAATTTGCTGTATACTTTGTGTCAAGTGTTCTACTAATGCCTTATATGCATCATCTTACGTAATGCAATTCATTTCATTCAACAAATACTCATTAGCTGACTACTATATTCCAGGCTTATGCTAGGTCCTGAATACAAACAGATGAGTAAGATTTGGCCTTTTTCTTACAGGCAATAAGGGACATGTGAGGATAAATCAGGAGTGCTCTCTATGACCGAGTAGGGTGGGGAGGGAGGTTTTGGGGACTACATGAAGGACTAAACAAAACTGGAAGAGGCGACGGTCATGACAGATGAAAGGGGAAGGAGAAGAAAAGGGGAAAAGGACAAATAGACTTAGCAATACGACAGTTCCCATCAAGGACTAATCAAACATTCCAGTGCCTCCAAGGGCAAGTATTCTTGTAAAGTTGTTTCAAATTCCCAGTTTATTAGCACAATGAGTTTAATATTCAGGTGACTCTCTGAAAACAAAATATCTAGAAGATTATTTTTATATAGACTCTAGATTTATTTCTTCATTTATAGATATTCTAAAAGGAAGATTCAAAAATTTCAAAATAGGATTTGAGGCACCTTAAAGATACGTACAATAAGTATGTTTAAAAATTAAGAAAATAAAGAAATGGAAAAAAATGAAAGTGTTAGTCGCTCAGTTGTGTCTGACTCTTTGCGACCCCATAGACTGTAGCCCAGCAGGCTCCTCTGTTCATGGGATTCCCCAGGCAAGAATACTGGAGTGGGTTACCATTCCCTTCTCCAGGGGATTTTCCTGATCCAGGAATCAAACCCAAACCTCCTGCATTGTAGGTGGGATTCTCTATGATCTGAGCCACCAGGGAAGCCTGGGAGAAAGTAAATATATGATAAAAACTAGAGGAAACTTTAGCATATCCAAAGTCAAATATAATGTTCTGTTCAATTGCTGTCCACAAGTAACACCTTTATGTTGAGCATCCAAGCAGGCAGAACAAAGATTAACAGTCTACAGTGAAAAAAAAAAAAAAACATAGGTTCAAGAGGAGCATGACTTTCTCTGTTTGAGACCCATGTGAAGTTTCATCTATAGGTCCCCAGTGAATTAGGGTACTGTAATATTAAGGACAGCAGCTTCAGAAACATTCGTATAATAATCACAACAAGTTTAATATAGCACTGATCAAAGCATCCTTCACTGTAATCATTCTCCACTGTGATGTTACAACACACTCCAGCATTGTTCAGGAAAGACCGTTATACAGGGGCCCAAGCAATGCAAAACTAGCAAATAGTTCTTGGGTTTGTTCCAAAGACAAAATCTGAAATGAATAGATTGTATGTCCTTTAGTCTAAGAAAGACTAGTTTTTCTTATGTATAAGTTTGTTATAATAGAACAGCAGAGAGTTCTGAGGATAGAAAAACAGTGATGTCCTAAAGTTCATTACTGTTCAGTACTAAAATTCAGGACTGTTTATTGAGTACGCAGGTACTTTGCCAACCAACTAGACAGAAGATCAGATTGTAGTCTTTTTCTGAAAGTTATGAAACCAAACTAGGTTGCGTCCATGTCCTAGCTATTATAAACAGTGCTGCAGTGAACATGGGAGTACACGTGTCTCTTTCAATTCCGGTTTCCCCAGTGTGTATGCCAGCTGTGGGATTGCTGGATTGTATGTCAGTCTATTTCTAGTTTCTTTTTAAGGAATCTCCATACTGCTGTCCATAGTGGTTGTACTACTTTGCATTCCCACCAACAGTGTAAGAGGGTTCCCATTTCTCCACACACTCTCCAGCATTTATTGTTTGTAGACTTTTTGATGGCAGTCATTCTGACCAACATTAGATTGTACATCATTGTGGTTTTGATTTGCATTTCTCTGATCAGCAGATGAATGGATAAGGAAGTTGTGTACATATACACATGGAATATTACTCAGCTATAAAAAAGAACACATTTGAGTCAGTTCTAATGAGGTGGATGAAACTGGAGCCTATTATACAGAGTGAAGTAAGCCAGAAAGAGAAACACCAATACAGTATATTAATACATATATATGGAATTTGGAAACATGGTAACAATGATCCTATATGCAAGACAGCAAAAGAGACATAGATACAAAGAACAGACTTTTGGACTATGAGGGAGAAGGCGAGGGTGGGACGACATGAGAGACTAGCATTGAAACATGTATATTACCATATGTAAACTAGATGACCAGGGCAAATTTGACGCATGAAGCAGAGCACCCAAAGCTGGTGCTCTGGGACAACCCAGAGGGATGGGGTGGGGAGGGAGGTGGGAGTGGGGTTCAGGATGGTGGGACACATCTACACCCATGGCTGATTCATGTTGATATATGGCAAAACCCACCACAATTTCATAAAGTAATTAGTAATTAGGCTATTTAATTAGCCTTAAATAAATTAATTTAAAAAAAGCAACTAGGGCACATGCTTAGCTAGAGGACCATTCACCTGCCCCATATGGACAAATGGGTGGGTCTGAGGCCCCAATTCAGCCCCATAAAATATGGCTGCCATGGGTTTAGCTTGGAGAATTTTTAGGATGTCACTCATTAAGACTGCAATTTCCCATTTGGGTGAATTTAATGGGACCTTGGGATACAGTGAGGAGCTGCGTAGAAATGTATGATGTTACTTCAGGGAAAGGAGGTAAATGTCAGCATGCAGATAAGACAAAGTAGAAAACAGCAGAGAAAAACATTCTTATGTACTCTGGATTATAAAGCAGATCATTGCAAAATGAATCTAGATCGTCATATGTGATTTAAAAAAAAAAACCAAAATCTTGCTTTATGCCATCATTACTGCACAATGATGTTAGTTTTGTAGTTAGTTTGTGATAGGTCAATTAAGTGGGTGGGTAAATCTGATAAATATATTCTAGGCATTGGTCACCTTGGATTTTCAAATAAAGGCTGTGTTCTACCTAGACTTTCTCATCTAGAACCACGGTTTTATCTCGCTTCCTCTTCCTCCTTCACTTAACTGAGCCTAAACTCTTATTGGAAGACTTCCTTTTTTCTAGAAGAGGCTGCAACTTCTCCCAATATCCAAGTACCAGGGTTTGGCCGAGAGAAGTATTTTCTGAGCTCCCCTCTGCAACTTCCGAACTAGGTCATTACTCCTATGGTATCACTTTTAAGTCTCCATCCTTCACCATTGATCTATGTCATCCTTTATCCCTTATTTTCGCTGTTATCTACTAATCTCACCCAAGACACTCTTGCCCTCTTACCTCTTAAAATCATTCTGCCTGGTATCAGAATCTGTATGAAAGAGTCAATCAATATCTTAGTTTCAAAATTCCTTGATCTTCACCCCACCTCCACTAATGTTACCAAACTATTGGATTTGATTGTAAATAAAAATGGGAGAACATTGCAATTCCATATGGTTTGACCTAATACTTCCAAGGCCACAATCTAAACAATATTAAGCATATTATGTGCCTGAGGCATTCATTTATCCACTTGATATATATTTTAAAGTACCTACACTGTATCTTAATCACTTTGTCAGATGACAAGTATAAATGGATAAACAACCCAGGTATGGTGTTTATTCTCAAGAATTTTACAGTCAGTCAGCATGTGAACAAGTAAGTAGACAATTAACATACACAGTATGTAGGCACTACTTTAGGGAAAACACCTATTTTAAGAATCCATGGTTTGGTAACTAATCTACACATAGTCTCTGACAGAGGGAGCGATGCTTCCACTTTCATAATGTCTGGTTCTAAGTATAAAATAAAGAGGCAAAACCAACAAAAGAAAAGGAAAAAAAAAACAATCCTAATCAAATTTCTGTTTCTGCAAATATTACTACATATTACATGTTGGGATCTAGTTCTTTTCATTTGCTCATTGATAGTTTGTTGAGATCAATGCCAGCAATAGAATTAGAGAGAGGGAATATAAACACTATGTATTTAAAAATTACACTTAAAAAAACTACCTGACATATGGCTTCAATGGATTCCACCTGCCCCAACAATTTTACAGTTTAGACTTTTGAAGAAATGCCAAAATGTTTCCAAAG